CTCAAAGCTCTTCATAAAGGGATTCCGTTAAGAGGTTCGACAAATTTAAAGGATTGGAATGTGTTTTTGACGTTGTAAGTGTGAGTGCGTGAAAACGAATGAGAATCTCAAGCGTGAGATTTGTTTGCCAGATTCACATGCGAGTTTATTCTCTTGCGAGGGCTCAATAAATAAGGTTTGAGAATGATTTTCCGAACACTGCTCCAAAGCCATGAGTTAAAATCTCAACCCGGACAAGTTGGAAATGAGCTAAGATTTAACGCTCTTGACTACAACAATAATAAAAACCCGAATTTATCCACCTATGGTGTGATCAGACCCTTCTTACTTATTCAAGTTTTTTTATTTTATTGTCATTATCAGTGGCCAAGCCCCCCACCCCCGTGTCATCCAGTGACGCTACGCCACTGCCTGGGGGTACCCGGAATATATCCGGGTGTAGTCTATTTGGTGAGGCTACCAATCACCTTATCATCGTATTTTAATTTGATTTAATGGGTTTTAATTCAATTCATATTCAAGCAACTTCCCCGGGGTACCCGGAACATGTCCAAGTGTGTCCAATGTGGTCTGGAACACTTAACACGACTTGCATTGATCTTATTTTTGAATTCTGTAGTAATTTGATGTGTCGCATGATGGTTTTGATACGTTTTCCGTTAAATCCAGCGTTAAGGCCCATATTCACCGGATCTTATTCCGGCCATATCTCCGGAACCGGTTCACCGATTCCAAAACCGTTCAATAGCGTTCAATGGGACCCCAAGACCTATCATTTGGCGCCGAGTTTGTCCAAATCGGTTGAGTGGTTGCTGAGAAACGTGAGCGCATTCATTTCGTTACATACACACACACATACACACATACACACATACACACATACACACGTACACACACAGACATGTTCCGATCTCGTCGAGCTGAGTCGAATGGTATATAACACTCGGCCCTCCGGGCCTCGGATCGATAGTCGGTTTTTCAAGTGATATCTATACCCTTCTTTGTAAGAAGGGTAAAAAGAAACAGTAATTACGGTACGGCAACACAGTTTGCCATAATCGAGTTTGCGTAACTTATTTATGGCAATCTCAGCTGTAAAAATGTACGTCTAGTCACTTATATACAACTTATTTATAACGAAAAAACACAAGAGATGGGATCTATATGTAATACATGTTATGTTATATATGAGTGACTTACTATAACGCAACCTACTGTTTTGAACATGTTGTAAATTAATTTAAACTTTCCAACGAATGGAATTTGTTTATTTTTTCATCATTAATTTTCAAAACTTATTCTTATTTAGAATTTTATGTGGCGAATAAAGTACATAAACTGAGATTCCGTATTGAGAAACTTTTGCGCGTTTTAAAATTTTTTGGTGATTCTTTATACCCCGTTCAAATTACAGCCTATATCACGTAATATAGGCTGTCTTGCAATGAGCACTCATACATAGGATTTCCAGTGAAAACTAGATGTATGAGTGCTCATTGCAAGACAGCGTATATCACGTGATACACGCTGTAATGTGAACGGGGTATTACATTCCACTTCTAAAAAATCATTGGCTCTTAGAAAAAGCTTGATACAATAAAATGAGCTGAACTATAAATTCTGCACTTTGACTATATGTTTTTAGTATTACTTCTACGTGAAGTCAACGATTTACATAGTTGAAGATGCTAATTTCAAATAACAGACTGTAGTGGTAATTTTTATACGATAGATGGAGTAGATGAAAGCATAGAGTTGATAGTTCCGTTAGAGTACGGCAGTGTGAAGATTGTATATAGATATTAGACAAGCGTGCTAGGACAACTTTTAAGGAAGGTACAATTAGCATCTTCAACTATATAAATTCTGGATAGAATTCCTCAACAAACAAAAACAGAATATCAACTATATTTTTTTAATTATCTTACTTTTCTTTTGTACATAACGCGCAAGTCAAATCACAAATTGAATAAATTTTTATTCCTTATATTGCTTCATTGGTCAGTCATATTACAGTGCAAATTGTAGAACATTTTGAGAAATGAAATAATTGTTATCGAAACATGATTACAGTCACCACAGTATTATGGACCAGCTAGTCACTATTATGGGTCAGTCAGTTCTGCGAGTTAATAAAATGGAAGTGGCCCATAATTGTGGGGTAACTGTATAACACGAAAAACTAGAAAATTACTGCTATCCTTATATTCAACATGTTTTCACTAGGGGCATCCCACTCTAAACTATAGCTCTAGTATCAATTAAGTATTTCCAAGTGTCTGATAAGTATGCTTAAGTATTTTTAAGTATTTTACGTTTTTGATTTTTTTTTAATCATAGTAACCGGTTTTTAATGTAGTTATTTGTTGTTGTATATTCCGTCAATGTATCAATTCAATCTGTTAAAATTAAATGAAGTAGTGTTATCAGGTTTATGAGTAAGTAATTTAATTGTACTTATGAAATAGATCATCAAAACACAATTTTCTTTTAGCGAACCAGTTGGAGCAGGGGCTGCTGTTGGATCGAGAATTTATCCGATCTGAATTATTTATGATTTCGACCAGACTGTTCAGTGCGATATCAAAGTTTTGAACTCTATTGCTTAACTGGAGGTTAATGGTGCCGTTGTCGTCTAGACTCGCAACCAGATTCCAAACTGACCTTCCTAACCTAACAGTCTGAACTGCCATAATAAAAGCGTATGTTGGACGGAATTTCGGCTAAAAATTACCGCAAGCTGCATGAGTATGGACTACGCTGGTCATTTGTCAGAGAGCAATAGAAATACAATGAAGCATAACTGCCTTGAAATTGAACTGATTGTAATTGCCATTGGTGGCCGTATCGTGCCGCGTTTTGAGAAACTTACATCGGTTAAGATGAGTTACGACTGACTGGTGAGGGAGTTGAGTGAGTATCCTGATAGTAGCCGAAAGATTTATGTGAAATCAACATGATTTTCTAACTTTTAGGCTTTGAAACCAGTAAGGATAAGAAGGAAAATATTAATCTGTGCTGTAATATTAATTTATTTCAAACCATTGATATACCAAATAAAACGATGTACTTCAAAAATATAACTTATCTTTTCTCATTTCGTGTAAAATAAACTTAAAATAAAATAGGGGAAATGGCTCTAACGTTGGCCTATGGATCTAAGATTGGCCCATCACTTAAAATCTGCTGGGGGGCGACCCCGGCGTAGTGGTTAACATCCATACCTCTCACGCCACGAGTTCAAATCGCACCCCCGGACAAGTCACGAATAATACATCCATTTCCCCTATATGAATTTATTTCAAACAATTTCCCAAACAATTTTTAAAGCGATTTCGATATTAACACAAAGCGGATATGTTGGTTCGTCATGTCCAGCCTTAATAATAAGCCTTAACCAGGAGAGCATCGAAGGTTCCAATTCTAAGGAAATGTGATTGACTTCTACAATAAACTCATTCGGCGGCAATCTAGGAGATGTGGCTTTCCGGATGCCATAAGTACGGATGGTGCGGAAAGCTTTCACAACTTCGTATTCAGCTTCAATCAGCGTAAATGCGTTATCGTCACACGGTCAAGATCCTAATGAGCGAAAAATCTATCCTTATCGATATATGGTTTTGGGATAGACAAATTTGTTTCGAGGATTTGTTTCCAAATGCACTTTCTTTTACAATAACTTTCCAAATAGCTCCTTATTCTTCCTTTGAATGACAGGTGAACCAGTTTGGCAATGTAATATTCCTTGAATCAAAATGGTTTCCTCCTCGATTCCTACACAAAAGGAATAAATTAAAAAATAATAGTTGAATTTCTAAATACGCACACACAAAATCTCAGATGCCACCGAGTAAATAAACGAATGAAATTTGCCTATCAATGGTGGTAACAAACTAGCGCTAAATATTTCTTAAATATTTTTAAGTATTTTCAGGTATCTTAGATATCAGTAAGAACTATCTGAGTATAATGCGAGAAATACAAAGTTTAGAGTGATCCCTAGTGTTTTCATATGCCATTTTTGGAAACATGAGTGCATTTGAAATATAATCTATTAATAACATTGCATTCATGTTGGCTCCTGTTTCAAACTGACATATAACATGTTGTATATAAGGCTTGCAAGTTTTCACCAAATACAATCAGTTAAAAATGTATTATAAACAGGTAATTGGGTCATGCAATACCAAATTATAACTTCAAAAAAACAAGTGCCAGACAGAAAGATTGAATACTTCACAAACAACAATACAACGCGTAGAAATCAAGATGTTTACAAAGCAATTAATATAACTTATTTACAACTGAGATTTCTCTTCAAGAACGATGTTGTAAGTGTTACTTGAAATGCCATTAAGTGGAATTAAATGGAAACTACTTATCCTTCTCGATTTCTTTATACAGGAAGACGCCCACATTCATAAGGATCCATCAAGTTCTGTTTCTCTGATAATTTTCAAAACTTCCACAACAACAAGTCCGGTACAGCTCCCAGAACCTTAAGAACTGCATGAATTCTCAGAGTGTCAGGATGTTTTGGAGCTGAAAGCTTCGCTAACATGACAAGTTTTAAAAATTACACAACCTTCAGAAAAATTTGTATCTTCAAGAGCTTCTAATTAAGAATTCATTTTTGTTTAACAAAGTCTGGGGTGGTTTCTGTTGGTCTGTACACCTCCGTTTAGAGTGAAAAGGAGTTTTCTCTAATCAAAATTATCCATTGCCACACAATATAGGAATGCAAAAATGGCATAGGCTTAGAAACTCTTAATTCACAGCTGTGCAAGTTCTTAAAAAAAGGTGTGGTAGCCAAGAAGAATAAGAAGAAAACGACAGTAAATTTATAATATTTAAAATCTCAATAATATTGTAAACCGACGAAAACGGTTATTTTTTCTGAAATTTTGAACGATCTGTTGAAACTAATCACCTAAAGAACCAATTAATAAATGAATGTCATCATTGATCAGGTTGTGTCACTGCATTCAAACACCGGCATGTAAATTTAAGCTAGTTTCCAGTTTTTATTTTTCTCATCTTTCACAGAAACAATCCTCGAAAAAGCGAACAAAAGAAAAAATAATCACCACAGTCAAATTCGGATTTGAGGAATTTTGGTTTGACAGTCAACTTAGTACTTGGCGTACACGGCCGGGTATCCACTGTAGTAGGCAGAACTGGCATATGGGACATCGTAGGCAGCGGCGTAGGTCAGAGCTGGAGCAGTCTCGTAGTAGTGGCTCTTGGTCAGAGGAGCAGCGTAGGCCAGAGCTGGGCCAGCTTCGACGTAGTGGGTCTTGGCCAGAGGAGCAGCATAGGTCAGAGCTGGGCCAGCTTCGACGTAGTGGGTCTTGATGGCAGCTGGGGCGGCATAGGTGATGGCCGGAGTAGCAACCGAGGCAGCGTGATAAGTGGTCTTCTCGATTGGGGTCTCGACGATGGTCTTCTTCACGGCTGGGGCATATACGTGCTCAGCGACCTGCTTGTTGTGGTACTGGGTGAAGCTCTGGTGCGAGTATCCGGTTGGGATTTTCCTCTCGATGTTTCCAACGTGGGTAACGGTCGGTTCCTCGATGATGCTCTTCTGGTACGAGATCTCCTTCTGCGCAACGACAGTTGGGACAGCGGCATACGTGTGGTACGCCAGTGGGCCAGCCGAAGCGACCAGGGATGCTCCTGGAGCGGCAGCGGCAATGGCAAGAACAGTAGACAACACCACCAATCTGAACATGTTGAAGGATTGTTTGTTAGAAGGTCTGTGTTGTTCTTTTTAAAAAAATGCGTTGAAGCAAGTTGTTGTTTGTCGTACGATTAAACGTTGACTGTACCTCTCCACTCACTCGGTCAATCTTTTATAGTAGCTTCCAAAAACACGTACACACATCGGCGTCGGCGCCGACGGTGACGGTCCACCCGCGAGAGACGGATCTGGTTGTCCGAACTAAAAACCTACCACCCGACAGAAGCAGAGCAAAGCGATCGCCTCAGCAGCAGCTAGTATGGCGAATATCGTATGCCTACTTTTTTTTTGTGTTATTCCTTCTTACTCAGTTCCACTAGGCTAATTGAATCCGGTACGACGTACGTGTCTTTTGTTTCATTTTATGATCGTCATTTGGATTATGCAGAGAGATTCTCGAGAGGGATGTTTGAAGTTGTCCTGCTGGGCGTTTCCCTGCACCGCAGAGTGTTTCTATAAACGGCGCAAAATAAGGTTCGTTGCTTGCTGTTGAAGTCTCCAGGACTGCGCACGGTTCAGTAGTTTTCAGGATGTACATGGGCATACTTATCGTGAGAAAACTTGGCTTTTGGCATAGAGTTACGGGATCTATTTTGAAATTATCGTCAAAATCCAGCATAGAAGCAATTTGTTTCTATATTTTCTAGACCAACGAAGTATGCAATCCACTCTGCAGTTATACCACTATATTGAGAGCTGGCATAGGTTTAACTAGGAACGTAATGGTTGGGAAGAAGAAGGTCTGTAGTCCTGCTATCATGCTTTTATTGTGTCCGTTTGTCGTGATTTCTGGAGAAATGTATAGATACATAATAATTATTTTTCCAGAGTAGTATGGTCGTGATGAAGGTTGTTTTCAAGACGTTTCAAATATCTTGTGGCAATCATTACTTTGGTGAATGTGGACGTCTAAAGTGGAAAACCTGTATACAGAAAGAGACAAGGATTAGTAATTTCCATTTAATTCCACCACCTTATTTGCTTTTGCTTGGCAGATATGCGTATTTTGTGAACAATATTCAGACTTCTTCAGTGCCTTGTACTAATATTCGATGGAAATTACTGATCCTTCTCGCTTTCTACACTACTTTGGTGGAAATTGATCGTTATTTGAAATCTCGATAACAATAAATCATGAGATAATCATAGTTCTTGAAAATATATGGTCAACTGATGTGCAGTAAATCGAGCCATTTAAACAAATTATTTAAATGCACTGTATAATACGTTTAAATCTGTCGTAAGCAAAGCGATGAATTCTATCCAGAATATATGAAGGACACATAGGTCATCTTGGAAATGTAAGGATGATGGTCAGGATTTACGAGTATGTTGAAACCATGGATTTGAAATAATCATCATTTCATCAACAAAATTAATGGCATCGAACCCAGCCACCTCCAGCATGGTCTTGCTTTGTAGCTGCGCCTTTACTGACTGAGCTAATAGAAAGCTCCGTTATCATCACGTTATCATAATTCTCCGTAATTATTTCGAAGATGGGTTGGCAATGAATTTTATAGATTTTGAACCGAAATATGGTCTCTTATTAATTTCTGAACACTTTTTAGAAAAACTGGCAAATTCATAAAAAGTATGAATTTACATTGGAAACATAATTTTACTTCCTTTCTCAGTCAAATTTATGCTACGGATTAGGACATTTATGCTTGGAGAGTGAACCTAATTTCATCAATTTATGAGCTGATTGAATGACAGATATTATAGGATGACCAGTAGACCGAAAACACAGGAAAAACAGAGGAAAGGCCAGGAATTTTAAATCACCAATTTCGATGCAAAATCGGGAAATAATGGATTCTCGACCATGGAAAAGTTTTTTTCACCCCTGAACTGGACTAGATTTTCTAAATAAATCCCTTTGAAGAATTTTTAAGAGAATTTGGGTGATCATCCTATAGGAAGTTAGAAAAGATTTTGGAATTATTTCAATGTTGTTCAGAGAAAATTTCCAAGGGAGTTTTGGGAAGAGTTCTAAGGCCATTGGCAATGCTGTTGTATTTTATATGGACTGTTTCAATTTGAAGTGCATCCCTTGGAATGCTGAGTTGCAGTTACATTATTCGAGCTTAACTTTACACCACATTTGCAACTGCTCGAATATTTTGATTTATTTCTGAGCAGATTTGAAACGCGAATTTTGATTTTTTTTTTGTTCGAATTTATAGATGTTTCTCGTGCATGTTCAGAGCACTTCATAGTAGTTTAGAGGATTTAATATAACTTTGGGAATATTACAGAAGTTTTGGAAACTTCTGGGCAAAATCGAGGAACATCATAAATATTCTGGGAATTTCATAGTATATTATAGAACTTCATGGAAATGCAGAATTTCATGAAAGCGCTTGCATCTTCTACATCAAACAGATAGGGGAAATGGATGTTAAGTCGGCTTGAATGCCCCTTATTTGGGCCCATACATAAATTCAGCAATCGACTAAATTTTCAATAGCGATCAAAAATATTCATTAGTACCGTCCCAATGACACGTTCATCTAGATAAAATTGATAAATGTTAGATTTTTAGCGATGGGCCCAATCTTAGATCCATAGGCCAACATTAAAGCCATTTCTTCTATTCCCTCAATTGATACCAGGCTGTTCAGAAAATATTCAAACGATCTTCAGGTGTTCCAAGATGAAGTCCTTTTGTTATTTTTTTAAAGACTTCAGGTTTTTTTTCTATGGTTTATTTTTCCGTCGATCTTGTTTTCCGTCCAGCCTTTCGCTCTTCTTAATGTTTTTGATGAATGCCCTTCGAATATTAGTGGATAGTGTTTGACGGAGTTGACCAATGATTCCAGGATTGCAGATTTTTTTTTTCTCCTTGATTTGTTTTTCTTCGATCTTGTTTTCCGTGCTGAGTACCACTGATACCGACACCAGGGAGGCAGCTTCCACACCTGGACCTGGTCCACACCTGGACCCTACCTATCGACCCAAATCATGGACCGGGGACCAACGGTTTTACTTTCCTTCCCAAGGAAAGTGGGATCAGAGATGTTATGCCTCAGAAAATCCTGGGATTGAACCCAGGCCCTTTGGAGTGAGGGACAATCACGTTTACCACTACACATCCGGTGCCGTTAAGACTTCAGGTTGATCAAGTATTATTCTAAAGATCTTCAACCATCCAACAATTTAAACCACGTGTATTAGATTTTCTCTCATGATACCAGGTGGATGCGAAATTATTCCGAAATCATCAAGTGATCAGACCTCAGGTTACATTTTCAAGACTTCAGGTTTATCAGGTATCATTCTGAAAATATCCAACTATCCAACAATCCAAATCACATCTCTCAGATATTATCTCATATGATACCAGGCAGCTCAGAAATTATTTCAAATGCCTTCATGTGTTTTAAGATGTCCATAAAGTCTTCGGGTACTTTTTCAAGGCTGCATGTAGGTCAGGTACTTTTCTACATCTACACATATATTCTCTCATGATCAGACATGGAAAATCATTTGCATTAATTTCGTGCATTCATTTACATTCATTTGCCTCTAACTTTTTTCTTAAACAGCATTCCGCAAAATGGTATAAAGAGCTTTTGTAGATTTTGTTATTAGCTACAACTTTTGTTAACAAATCAAATCCGTTTCACTTATGCTTGACGAACCAGAGCGAACAGAAGCCACTGCTGTTTTTCAGTGAATGTATTTTACATTTACTGAAAAACAGTAACAAGTTCTGCTCGCTCTAGTTCGTGATGCATAAGAGATACAGATTTGAGATATTTGCAAAAGTTGTAGTTAATAACAAAACCTACAAAAGCTCTATACATTATTTTGCGGAATGCTGTTGATGAAAAAAGATAGATGCAAATGAATGTAAATGAATGCAAATGATTATCCATGCCTGCTCATGATACCAGGTGATTCAGAATATACTCAAAAGATCTTCAGGTGATCAGGTATCTCCAAAAACTTCTTATGATATGTTTTAAAGTGTTTCAAAGACCATAAGGTGATCAGTGATATTCATTAATAATCAACAAGCTAAATCACATTCCTAAGATACTTTCTCATATGATGTAAAGGGCCTCAGAAAATATGTTATAACTCTTCAGATAATCAGAGACTTCCATAAAACACTCAGTATTTTTTTTTCAAGTCTTCAGATTGATCATGAATCCCATCGGTGCCTTAGATTTTATCGCAAATTTTCTCACACACACGTCTCTTACCGATGATATGTATTTTCAGTATCTTCCAACTTTCTCATATTCTGAGGACATCTGAGTTCTGGGTTCTGAAGATCCCAAACTATCCAACAATACAAATAAAGTGTCCCAGATATTCTATCAGGAAACCAGAGAACTATTAAATTTTCCAAAGATCTTCAGGTGATCAGAGATGACCCAAAACTTTTCTGGATATTTGTCAATGCTTCTGGCTGATCAATTATTTAAATTTTCTTCTGTACTGTAATTCTAATCACGTATCTAAATTTGAAATGTAGTAGTGAAGACATTTCGTCGATCTCGCTCATGGTTAACTAACTACACGTGGCATTCCTGCAAAATAGTATCGTTTACGTCATAACGTCGGTAGCATCAAACTGAAATCAAATCATTATCTTGGACCAGAAAAAAAATCCTGTCCGGTTTCCTGAAGGATCACTGTAGTTGTTAATGAAGCATCTACGTCATTTTTCAAGTTTTGGGTTTTTGCTCAATACTCCTATATTACTAGACACAGTCCAGTTCAAACCAGGAACGGAAATTATCCACCTCGGAAAACAAGGCGTAAAAGGCGGAATCATGTCAGAATCGACCAAGGACGATCTACGGAAGGAAATTGCCGTTGAAGCACGGAATGAAATACGAAGCGGTACAAGAGATTCCAAAAGAAGCAATCAATGGTAGCAGGCATCACAGGTAAGTATACATCATCAAAGGTAAGTCAGAAAGTGGAAAATTCCTCTTCGATCCTTCAGATTCTTATAGTAATTTGCTTGGAAGTCGATTTGGATAAAAATTTACTGCCACCATGGCGCCTAAACGCAAAAGAAAGGGGCAAACTCTTGACCCGCCTTCTGATGAAATTAATTTGAGTAATCAATTTGA